TCAGCTGTATGATGGGCACATACTGCTCACTGAGTCCATGGTACTATCAGCTGCATGATGGACAGTATTTCAATAACAACTAAGAAGGAAAAAAAATGCCAAACAATATTGACAAACCCATTCATTATAATAAACATCCCTATTTCACAGATGAGAAAACAAGTGTCTCAAAATCCATAAAATACAGTAATTAGCTAATGTAACAAATTAAAATCAAATGATCAAAATTACATCTTGATTACTGCAGTGAATAATGGTTATCAGGACTGATTATGAGGGTTGGAAGTGCAAAGCTAGACGTTTTGTAGCAAGGAAGGGAGTGATTATTTCTCCAGTCTAGGAGCAGAGGTCTCTAGGACCATCAATGGAGAAGAGCCGAGAGCGGGACCCTACCCAGAGAACCAGAGATGCCTGAGATGGAGACAGAGACCATGACGTAGAGTGATGAAGCGGCTGGGGACTTTGGATCCAGAGAGGGAGAGGGACTGTGGGCCGAAGACTGGGGGGCGGGGGGGAGGGGGGGGGGTTTCTAGGATATACCCTTTGGTCGGCTGATGATGCATGAAGGGGATTGGAACCATGGCAATGAAATGATATACGATGGAATGAATGTAAAACTAAAGTTCTCTCATGTAAACTATCATATAATTCACAATAAAACATTTAAAAAAAAAATACATCTTGATTGACTGATGGCCTGTTTACTACATGAAGAAATATAATACATGACTCTTACCTTTGGCAAACATAGGCAAGATATCTGGGCTTCCCCAACTCCATGTGTACTTGCTTTCATTAAAAAGAGAATCAAATTCTACAGGATTTTCTTTCCATCCTTCAGGTAATTGGGAGGGGGGGGAAGCACACATAACAATAGTGACACATACAGTTTAAAAACAAACAATTATTAACAGATCATTTATCTCCTACTAAAATATACACTCACTTTTGAACTTTTGATCCAGGAATACAATGGATCCTTGGGTTAGAGCAGTAATATACATTCAATAGCACAGGCTGATAAAACGTAAAAGCCTAATACTGAAATCAACACCAGTGTGTGTTCATATGAGCAAAGCATACTAAAATTCTTATTAAAAGTATTTCAAAGCACACTTTTAGCTTTGTGACAAGATTCAGTGTTAAATTTTTCCTCTAAAGAACATGCCTATGAATCAGAACCAACTTGACAACTCTTCACCACAAAAACAAATAGACAATACCTTTGGCAACAGCACTGACATCTTCATAAAAGCCGGCGATCAGGGCTACGTGCCCTGGTCTAGACTCCGTTGGCACATGTGTATGAGAGACCCCCCAGCTGCCTTCATGCATTATAATATTCCTATAAGATATTAAGATGAATAGTTAACATAGACTATGAATAAATGCTGTCACAGGATTTTGGGGGAAAATCACCAAAAACAAATTGCTGTTGTGCTATCAAATCGGTTCCGACTCATAACAACCAAAACATATTAAATGAGGAAGAGACAGTCTCTTCAACTAATGATACTGGCAAATTTGGAAATCCATTTGCAAAAGAATGAAGCAAGACACATCATTTCACACCATATACAATAACATCTCAATATGGAATAATGACCTTAAAAAAAAAACCTGTATAGGAGTAAAAATGGCTACTCTCCTAATTTGGAATTATGATGGTTAAAATTGAGATTAAAACAGGCACAAATTGTCTTTTGTTAAAATGTATCAATGGTCTTTCAATTGTATCACAGTAATTCTCAACGTTTTGGAAAGAAAGCAAATGTCAAGTGAAAGGCCTATAGGGAAAGAAACATAAAACAATGAATACATCAAGGACATTTGTAAGATGAACACTTGACTCAATCATCTTTAAAAAAAATATTTATTCATAAGTACTGGCTTAGATCCACTTACTTTGTAATGAAATCAATTTTGCTAAAGTGCTTACATGGACAGTAAGTAAATGATTTGAATACCTCAGGCCAGGTGTTAAGAGAGAAGTATGTTCTAACTTTTTGAGAGACATAATGAAACCTAGACTTAAATGGAAAGGCGGAAAGGGGTTACACAGAAATTTAGATTCATCTTTCTGAAAACATTTCAACATTTCAATCTGTTTAGCTCATACTAAAAAGAAGAAGAAGCGTGTAAAGAAGACACCAAGAGATTTCTGAAATAGCTGGCGTAAATTAGCACACAGCTCATCACTGCCTGTGCTTTCTGTGTGCCATGTAACAGTGTCTCCTTACAGAAGTCCCATCAGAAAAGCACCTGCTTAGAACCAAAAAGGCTTGGCTTTTCCTTCACAGCCAGCCTCATTTCACTCATTTTGCAATCAACTACACTTCTCTATTTTTTTTAAAGTCACATCCAAATGTTTTTACCCAAATATTTTCTATATTTGTGGAATTTCAGGTTCCATAAATTTAAGCATACTTAACCTTGGCTAGATTTTCTTTTCTTATTTTCCAATATTCTGTTCTGTTGCAGACCATGTAGAAGTTCGAGGCCCACTGGGCCCGAGTGTCACAGGCCGCAGGCTCTGAGGAACAAATTCTGGCCACTGGCAGTCATGGCAAATTGTTTTTCATCTTAGTGTTCAGTTATGCTTTTTATTTAATTCCAAACATGAGCCCTTAATGTCCACAGATAAATGTGATATTTTCCTAAAAGCCCAGACCATAAAGGTTTCAAGGGTAAAGACTTTCTCCAAAGGATTAACTAAAAATGGCTTAGCTACTTCCCGGGTCTTTGTTCTACAGACAAAAAAGCCATCTTCCCTGAATCTGTCCCAG